AAAAGAGGTGGCAACCCACGCTCAGCACTAGCATAGTTAGGTGCTCAGGGATCCAGCCCCCAGACTTTCAAGGATTAATTACTCAAAGCCCTGAACATGGATGGGCAAACAGAACACCTTTTTCTTTCCCCAGCATTTGGATTTTTCTAATCGTGAGCTCTTTCCATCCCATTAATGAAGAGTATGTACATGTTTGTAAATTCCCTGTCCCTGGATTAAACAGCCTGGAAATGAAACCTTTTGATCTGGGATAGTTCCAGGTTTGGGGGACCTCCTCTCTGGTGCACCACCTCCCCTTCCCCCTTGGCTATGCTGTGATCTGTGATGGTGCTGGGAGCTCCTACTCGAGCCCACCTGCTGCGCAGAGGGAAGAGGCCAGGGCAGCAACACGCAGCAGTTCTGCCTCCACTCCCACTTGAGCAAATGGCAATAGCACTTAAGAGGTGCTGATGTTTCCATTTTGGGGACTGAACAGTTGGCAACAGTGCTAGGAAAGGGGGAACAGCAGCCACGATCATTTGCAATGGGGCAACACTAAGGCATAACGGGCCAAATCCTCACTGCTGAGCAAAGACAAGTTAGGTAGTGAGACCTCCTCCTCCAAGGCATGGGCCACTGTTCTCTGGTGGGTCCTCAGGTCACTGGAGACTTCGGGATTCTTTATAGGAGGATTTTATCCACCACTTTACCCAGACTTGCTTTCCAGATTAAAATTGGCTCCTGTGTGTGTGCTTTCCTTTCTCAGTTTTGCTTCTTTACATGGCCACTAGGTCATCCTGTAGTACAGCAAAATTGCATAAATGTGTAAGCCTTTCATCCAGTGATTTCCAGATAATACTAGACTTAATACTAGACTTTTAATACTAGACTTTTCTTAGATAATACTAAATCTAAGAAAAGCAACAGGCATTGTTGCAAAGAATGGGAGAGGATGGATGATGATGATGATGATGATGATGATGATGAAAATGATGATGGGTAAAACTCCTCCAAATAACTATCATTGAAGAATCATGAGTTGAACTTTACAACCAGTGATAGTTTTCTGCTGTTAAGGTGGCCAGAAGCAAAGACGATGGGGCTCTTGCAACTTCAACGGCTGCACAGAAGAGGGAAATTTCTGCAGTTGTCGTTTGCATGACAAGCCCCACCGCTGAAATCACCTCTTCTGTGCTACTAGCCATCCTACCTCCCCTGCTCTTCCTTCAACCAGAGTATGCAGTGTTTCCTGCTGGAGCTTGAGAGCACAGGTGTCTAATAAGAGAATGTGGTCCATAGTTTCCTGAAGTACCTTCAACTGTACTTATGCTAATATTTCTTTGTAAAACCACCAGTCAGTTCCTCTTTCAAACCTAGGGGTTTCATCGGAGCGGGAAGTTTTCCAGCTAGTCTAGGCCAATCCAGAACTGATTAACAAGTATTTTTCTCTTTCCCAAAGCAGAATTTTAAGGAACAGAACATACTAGGTTTTGAGTTATTTGCATGTTGAATTTGCAGTGTTAAAACTGTTATCACACCTTCTCTTGGGTAACAGCCAGCAGTAACTGGGGTCAGGCCTCCTGGCCCCACCCTAGGGCTCTGTGTGTTCCCTGCTACCATATGTGCAAAATTTACATCTGCAGACAATTTTCCCAGCTCATGTATACAAGCCACCTATCCCTTCTGGTATCCGTACATATGGTCTCCACAAAACATGAATTGTTGAACATGGGGAGGGCTGGCCAGGAGGTACTGACCCGTATCTCCATGTTCTCATCAATATCCAAAGGATATACAGAGAGCGCTGTCCCAGGTGAAGCCTAAAGGTATGATTTAAAGGACTATATCCAATAAATTAGGAGTACTGTTCTTGTTCCTCCATCTAATTGTAAAGCTGTTTATCAGCTGTGGAATGGAGGGGGTATAGGCAACAGTTCAGCAAACATTTGTCCATTAAAATGCAACTGTTCATTTCTTAATATAAACATGGATAGCAGGTGAAACCTTTATCAGGTGTTCTACTCTGTAACCTGATCACATTTTTTATTTATTTTAATCTCAAACAGCAAAGGAGAAACGTAAGTATTATGAGACCTTCCTCGTGCCGCCTGCTGCTTCGTCAAGCAGTTGATCATTGAAATAACCAATAGACAAAATGATCACAGCAGCCAGGAGCTGTCTGTTTCTCAGCAGCAATTCCCAGGATGCATCAGGGGATAAAAGCTTGCATGGGGCATGCCAGAAGGATGCAGTGGTCCAGCATGGAGTGAGCTATCCTCGTGAGCCAGGGTGGTATGTCACAAGGCATTTCAACGCTGTATCAAACTTCTGCACTTCAGACCCTGTATGGCTCATTATCCAGTGGGATAATGATCTATCTACCCTATGCAAATGTCACCAATAGCTGTCCAGAAATATCCAAAAGCAGGCCAGGGGCTCTGTATTTTACTTTAAGCGGTGCTTCTACATGGTAGCAAGCTATCCTAAAATTGTCTCTGGAGGGGGAGGCTACTACAACTGTGATTCCCATCCATTTCCCAATTACTCTTCCTGGATGATTCACTGATGTAGTTTAAACTAAGGTCTCATAAAGACTTAGAAACAGAGGTATTGCCTTTTGGTCCTCCTAAGCAGCCATCCTTGGCTTTCTTCTGATCTCCCATTTTCCCTCACCAGCATGACTTGTGGGTGGGGCTGATGGGAGCTACAACCAACACATTTTGAGGGCATCAGGTTGTGGAAGGCTGCTGTAATGGCTAGTAACCTAAGCATCAATTCCAAGGTGCTCTTCAGAGCTGGATTTGAGATCTTCATTGCCTTTATTGAATTGAGACTCTATAGTTGCAATCCTACACATACTTAGCAGTAAGTTGCATTGAACTCAAGGGGTTTCCTTCTGAGTAGACAATGTATAGGATTGCACTGCAACAGAAAGGCAGTTCTATACATTAAAAGGTATCATACAGTTTTCCCATCTTTTCTTCTGTAATGGATGTTCCAGGTAGGAAAAGAAGTCAAAAGCGATTGTATTGCACTACAAATTAAAGATGACATCATCCCCCCCCCCCCCACCATGAAGTTGGAACTCAGAGAGCACTTTGCATGCTAGGAAAATAGGAACAAGGAGGAATGGCTGATGTTCTCTGTTGGCGGCTTTTTCCCCTGATGTTAAGTGTCTCCAGCCCTGAGCTCATGGGGATCACTGCAATTGTCTCCAAAGACTGGGTACTGGCAAAGGTTGCCCTGCTGAGAAATGTGGTCTTTTGGGGCTGCCTGGCTACTGCTGGTGCACAGCTGAGCATGAGCCACTTTTGGCCAGCTGTCCCTCTGTGGAAGGATTCTGGTGCTGCTGGGAGACAGGTGCCTCCCTGTCCTTGTGGAACAGAGATGTTTGGCAACACAAAGAGTGCCTCTGATCAGGAGCTTGGAGCAGGATGACCACTTGTGTGCAAAGTTCAAGCCTGGGGCAGGAGTGGACTTCATGCTTTCAGGGCTTATTCCTCATGTGCATCGTCGTCAAGGAAGTGGCACTGCATGCACCCGTCACTTGCATGGCCTCATTCCGTTGTCATGACATCATGTGCCTCTCCTGCTTATTCCTGCTCATTCCATGTGCATATCTGCTGCTAAACTGTATCATTTCATTGCTTCTTCCATCTCCACCATGAAAGCTGTCCTTGGATGCGGCAGCTAAATCCAAACAGCAGTTGTCTGTCTAGTTGTTCCTGTCCATCACCATTGTATTAGTAATAGTTTATTGTTAGTATAACACATCCATAACATTTTGTTTCACCCAAAGGCTGCAATCCTATGCTCACTCACTTGAGAATATGTCCCAAAGAACTCAGTGCGGATTTATTTCTTCATAAACATGCATAGGAGCAGACTCTACATCTGTTGAGTACTCTACCCAGAAAGTACTTAATACCATTTGTGCAGAACCAGTTGTCCTAGTAGGCAAAATACCCTAAGGGAGCTTATCGTGCTGCATGGATGTGTATATGTGAGCTGTTTCCATCTCCATACTGCATCATCGCTAGCTGCAACAAGTAACATCATGGACTACGCTCAGGTAGTCTCAGAATACCACTCTTTGGTGGCCCGATGGCACAGCTATTATGAACTCTCTGTCCTACATCTTCTGTTCCTTGAGCAAAAACAAGTGAAACTCTTGTACTGTGCTACATGCATCCCACCAAAATCCAGGTGGGTTTGTTTAGTGGCAGAAGGGTGGCATCTTATACCCAATCTTCAGAGAAGGGGCTAAGACTACAATGAGGAATCCAAGTACAGGTAAGACTGTTTTTTCTAAGCCCTCTGGCTTCTCATTCTGCGCCTGTTCTGGACCTAATATCTTAGTGATCCATGGACCCTCGCAGGTTGCACACACATGAAGGATCTCCTGCGCACCTGCTGGGCAAGAAAGTGAAACCCTTTGCTTCACTTTTGTCATGACTTCCACTCAAGGCTGCAGAATGAGATTCACAGCTATTCCCACTCTTTGGAGATAAGAGTGAAGAGCAGACACAAATCAATGCTTGTCAGTCTTTACAATTCATCTATGCATCCATTAACTGCTGTTGTTTGTCATTTATGCTCCACCCCTCCTCAGTTAATCCCTAGCATATCCAGTGAAAAAGGAACTTTTTTCAAGAAGCATTGAAGGGAAAAAAAAAAAAACCTCTAGCGGTAACTGTAGAGAGGCACTATTTGTCAGAGTCAACTACCAGGACTGAAGAGCAGATGGTATGACTCACTATAAATATGGTCCTTACTTCTGTACTCTGTAGCCCTCTTCTCCCCATAACCATCAAGTTGCATCCAGAATGATGGTGCACATAGCTCTTAATTTCCATGGCACATGCAATACTACTTAAAATTATTTTTAGCCCCACAATTCCCTGTAATATATCCAAAGAACAAGAGGGCCTGAGAACTTTCCCTAGTGCACAGTGAGTTATACAGTCAAGCCACAATGCCAGTGGAGTTGGCTCAGTTATCTCCTTGCCTTCTCCTGACAGAAACTGATGATGCCATGCGGTCCTTCGCCGAGAAGGTTTTTGCTTCAGAGGTGAAAGATGAAGGAGGCCGGCATGAAATCTCCCCCTTCGATGTGGAAGATGTCTGCCCCGTCTCTCACCTTGAAATGCAAAATCACATGATCAAGGAGGAAAGTGGAAGTGATTCAGCTAAACGGTGAGAACATTGTCTGTGTCTGCATGTACTGGGGAGCGTGTGCAATTTGTGCTGAAGCAGAAGGATCCCAGCAAGACTGGATGAATAACAGAAGAAGGCCTGCTTTAGAGGAGATGCATGCAGGCTTATGCAGACCATGTTGCTTAATGCCTCCGTCAGATGTATTTGTACACCATGAGGAAAGCTGACTAAAAACTTGGAAAGTGCTGGCTGCTGAACCAGGGAAACCTCACATGCCTGGGAAACTGCAGTTTGACTGATGAGTAGTCAGAGCAATGTCCAGCACAAAGCTCTGCATAACACCAAGAAATTCAGTACATTTTAATGCCCAGCTTAAAACAGAACCGCTTGTTCACAAAATCAAAGTGGATCTTAAGCTTTCTCTAAATGAGTTAGCTGCTATTGCAGAAAAAATAGCTCTTCTCCTGCCTTTTCTAGTCTCCAGATATTCTTGATCTATATATTTGAAGACCTTTTGCTCTCTCAAAGAGGACAGGAATATTCCCAAGTGAAAATGGAGATGGCAGACAGGTAGCTGACCATTCCATCCACCACAGGTTGAATCTTTTTTCCTCCTCTTGCCTCGCAATTGAACAAAATCACCACTATTTTGCCTGGATTAGGCTTCAGTTTGATTGTCCTCATCCAGTCTATTACATCTGGCACTGATTTAGAAACCCAGTAGCTTCCTTAGATTTAAATGGAAAAGATAGATAAGAGTTGGATGTCATCAGCCTACTGGTTGCTCCAAACCCCAAGATGGGACCGCAGTTTCATGTATATGTTTAATAGCATGTCGGATAGGATGGAACCCTGAGGGATACCACAGGCCATTAGCTAAAGTGTAGAAGAGGAACCCTTCGAAGCCACCTCCTGAAATCACCCCTCTAGGGAGGGCAAGAACCGCCATGGTGCCTCCCAGGCCCAGAAGGTCAATGATGCAGAAAGCCACTGAGAGGTAGAGCAGATCCAATATGGACACCCTCCTCCTGTTCTAGGGGATTTTCCCCCTCCAACAGTGATCTCACCCCTGCCTCTTCTAAGTAAGGTGGTACGAATATTGCCATAAAGTGACATTCACCACCACCCTTATCCACTCAGCTAGCTGCTTTTATAAGCCAGGAAGGGTAAGAATTCAGCACTGAAGTGCTTTGCAGGCCATTATCGTTCTTGTCTGGATTTTCTCAATTGAGCCTATTGACCATTATAACTGAGCAGTGGGACTTTTCCCTATTCCTCTGCAGAATTACTGTTACTTAACCCTGTAGCAGAATATGCACACTTTGCTTCCATGTGGAAATGTCTTTCCAGTGCCTTCACTGCAAATGTGAAAAGGTCAGAAGAAAGTGTAAACCAAGCCCAAATGATGCTAGATCTAAGTTAAGCTATTTGCATGTGGTTGCAATTTAAATTTCCCTGCCAGTTCTCCAAGCCTCTAACATGATATCTGCCAGTCTAACTGAGATTCCAGACTTTAAATTTAGTCTGAGCCGAGAAATAATAGCTATGGGAAATGCAAGAGCAACCTGGATAGATGGTGTGAAAGAAGATTTGACTGCCAAAGCATCGAGCAAGCTATGCAAAGCAGAATTTGAAAGTGTGTTGCTGCCCTCCTCTTCATCCATTCTAGGAAGAAGAGACTGCTGCGGCTAAAGACCATAGCACTGGTTGTTCCTATTGCAGGAAAGTCTTCAACCAAACTCTCCACCTTAGATGAGGTCATCTCTACCAGTCCTCTGTATCAAGCTGTACCAAAATTCCAACGTGTGCAGATCACAGGAGATTATGGTGCTGGGGTGAGTAGCGGGAAGTGCCAAGTCATCTCCTCTCACTTCTTCCTTCTTCCTTCTTGCTAGGCCACCCAGATGATTCAGGCATAGTATTCCTGCTAGGGACTTTTCAGTTACCATAATGCAATATTTGATTTCCACTTGATGGAATCTAGATGCCTGTTCTCACAGGAGGGGCTCAGTAAACTAAACTGTTTTCAAGGAACTAAACTAATGTACAATGAAACCACTAAAATAAAATTTCTACAAAATGGCACAGATATTGCTGCATAGTGGAAGTGGGGAAGAGTAACTTTTATTCTGTTTAGTGTAGGAACTGTACGGCTTTTCTACATAAGGGTGTTGATCCCTGCATCTGATTTTGGTTTCTTTGCAGCATTGTGCTCTGAGCTCTACCCAAAGAAATTTTACTTTTCTGTATTCCCTATTCATTTTCTCTAGGTGGAACTGTGCTATAGCAGGAAAGCTCAGATAGCATAAGGATAAAAAGGATCATTTCCCCATTCTAATATAAGAACCCATTGCACCTGTTCTAAAACAACAGCAGCAGCAAACCAAACCAGGAAGCTCTGAATAAATAAAAGTGAAAACTAGGGGGCCACAACTTCATCTAAATTGACCAGAAACAAGCTTGAGTAAGCAATGATGAGCACACAATAAATGCCTCATATAGAAAAGCTCATAAACTGGAAAAGAACACAGTTTCTAATGAACTTCAAATCCCATGCATCTCTCTAAATTGTGCAATAGCTCTGGAAAAAAGCTGGTGCTTGGAGGTGTGGCTCCAAGTTTGCTAAGCGCTCTCTCTCTCTCTCTCTCTCTCAAATAGGAGTACATGTGCCTCTTAAGATAAAGGACAGCTTTGTCCCAGGTACAAAACGCTGTGGTTATAGAGTATATAGCAGCAAAGACTCATTTATTGCGCACAAACCCTGAACAGTAGAAACGGTCTTGCTGAATTACCCCTCATCCCCAGTTGTCATCCAATATTTCAGGTCCCATGGGAGAGACTCTGGAAGTGGAATGAGGAGGGAAGAGGCGCAACAGCTCTCCCATAACTAACCCTGACTGTGTGTAACAGCATTTGTATTTGACTGAAGTAACCTGAAGCCCTAGAGAAATAAATCAAACCCTGAGGTAGCTTTGCTGTGTCAGGGGTTATTGGTGAAACTGAAGTGGAACCATCGTAGTGCTCAAAATAACTCCTGGTGTTAGGTCCTGTCGCGGCCCCTGATCAATTTGCATTGCCAGCCTCAGACTGTGGGCTATTGGGAGAGATGAGTGCTGCTGGAAAACCCCTTGAGCAATCCCATTTTCTCTAGGTTCCATCCAAGGGATGGCTCCAACTTTGCGGGGTCCTGTGGCAAAGCGGTTTCTGTGAGCCCCCTGCAGAGCAGTAGAATTGCAAAGCAGTAGGCTTTCTTTCGTTTTAGTAGCAGAGTTCAAGAGTTGAATCTGGTCTGCCTAGGATCTAAATCTAGCCCTCCATGGTTGCACAGAGAGCTATTCCCCTTTCACTGACCATCAATTGCTTGGCGGCCTCCTAGATTTGGGGCCCTTTCCCCATTCCAAAAGTTTGAGGTGCCTCTCCTAAGGCTTAGTTATTGGCAGTAAGACCTTTACACCAAATATTCTAGTAGTTTGAGTGGTAGCCTCCCAGGGTCCACCATTTTGTTTTTTCCACATTATTCCAACTGCTGTATTGGCTCAAAGCAATGCAGGAAAACAAAATAGCAAATGTCAAATGGCATTCACCACTACTTAATATTCCCGGGCTGTGTGTGTGTGTGTGTGTGTGTGTGTGTGTGTGCGCGCGCGAGAGAGAGAGAGAGAGAGAGAGAGAGAGAGGTCAGTGCGGTAGATCCTGCTAGGCTATGCAGGCTCTAGTATTTGCCATGTGCTGATGGTAGGCCTGTTCTATTTTCATCATTATTTCTACCCACCCCCAACCAGGCATCCTACTGATAAAACATTGTACAAGGATCTTACTTTAATCTCCTAGCCCATAGATTTTGCATGTGTAAGCATTTATGGCCTTCCTAACTCCTCCAAAGAACTAGGAATGTTTGCCTGGTATTGTTGTTGCCGATTTTTATTGTGACAAAATGAAAGAAACAAAACCATAACAAGAAAGGAAATAATACAACTACAATTTTACGTACAGTGTGGACAAATGTTTCCATAGGTAACTGTGGAGGACTTTGAAAAGGTCTGCAAAGGCCTGTACCGTGCCCTCTGTATCCGAGAAAGGTACATGCAGCACTCCTTCCAGCGTTTCCCCAGGACTCCCTCCCAGTTCCTGCGTACCATTGAGAATGAGGCATGGAAACCAAACGAAGATCTGTGGCCAGGTAACTACAGGCAGTCAGTGCAGACTGAACTGGAGGGCCACAAGTGAGTGAATCATGACTGAGGGCTATCATGCCTGCAGCGGAGTCCTAGAGCAAAGGCAGCAGGTGTCTGAGGAGGCTGTGTGGCAGGGTCGGCTCCTTCGCTCCACTAGCATCACAGAGGCTGTGCAGAGGCTGGGAGCGGAAGCTGTGGGATCCTACGGAGCCTGGGATAGTGAGAGGGCCTTTCTGCCAGGGTCAGTTAGAGCCTGACCTGCACAAAGATTGAGAAGAACTTTCCAGGGGCAGTTGTGGAGGCTCGACTGCCTGCTCCACCTTTGCTCTCCCCTTTCTCTTAGCTCAGTCTTAAATGAGCACCTCCTGTCATTTAACTTTTCTGCATATCCCCCACAGGCTGGTTGAGAGAGAGCCTCAGCCTCAGCTCTCACCCTAGGATGGCATTCCTTGAGCCGAATTACATCTCCATGTTTCCCTGCCTCACAGAAGTTCAGTCTCCTCTAAACAGAGCGCCATGGTGCATTTCTGTGTCTCAGGCAGAGGTCTTTCCTGTCATTTGCGACCTGCTCTTAAGGAGACAGAGATGCTAGAAACTCAGCCTGGGATTTTCTATGTAAACAGCACATGCTCTGTCCCTAAAGTGAAGTCCTTCCCCCACTCTGCATTTGAATTAGACTTTATTTGATCCCCTGAGCTGGATTTCCACTATTCGTTCAATCTTTCTGAATACAAACAGATGAGTGGCTTGCAAATTCAATGGGAATAATTGATATGAGCAGTCAGGGCACTGCTTATCTTCCTGTAGCTAAAAGAGAACCTTTCCCTTCTTCTGGATTATTAAATGAAGGAACCCACCAGAGAAAGAGGCAGAGCTTTCATATTTCCAGGTATACTTTATTAAACAGTATTTTATTGGGAAATGGTTCACTGAACACAACCATCTCAAGAATCACAAAAATATATGTACTAAAACACATTTAAGCTAGGTATTGGTCACTAAGAATAAAAAGGATCTTTAAAATAAACACCTACAGTCAGGAGTCCACATTACTAAATTTAAAAAAGACAACATCTTTGGAGAAGTTTTTATTATAAGGCAACTGTATGCATGAACCAATAGCAGTGGCACGATCCCTTGAGAGATTTCAGCCAGCCAAGTAGTTCCAACTATTCCTTAGAGATGCAGCATTTAATTCCCCTAAGAGGGCAAGTGTAACAAAAGCATGTTTGAGGTTCCAAATCTTTTCCTTGCAAAGCTCATCAAATGCTCTTCCTCTAAATTTTAGTGTTCACATCTTTGAAGGATGGTGAAGACCCATTCCGCTCTGACAATCTACCTGAAAATTTGGGCTATCATGTGGAAATGAAGGATGGTGTGGTGTATGTCTATGCCGACAAAGCAGCTGCTGCCAGGGGTGAGCCCAAGGACCTGCCCTACCCTAACCTGGAGGTCTTCCTTGATGACATGAACTTCCTGCTGGCCCTTATAGCTCAGGGGCCTGTGTAAGTGTCTTAGGGAGCCTTACCTACGTATGGTATGGCACATCCATCCACACAGAAACTGGGCCAGCCCGAGCGAGTGCAGTACCTCCGGTGGCAAATCCTAAGGGCACCCACGCTGCAGTCATTAAAAATACAGCAGCCTGCATAACAGTAAATGAGTTATCACAATGCTTGGCTTTACCAGGGCAGCTATGACAGTCTGTCTCATGGTAGTGTCAGCCCTGCATAAAGATGGAGCACAGGTTAAGCTGCAATGAATCCGCAGTTCCTGACCATTCTGGAATGTGATTTTTTATCAAACGGCCATGTGACACTGGCAGGCATCAGGTTGGCCACCAAATGCCAGTTGCATTGGTAAGCACTGCTTCTATACACAAACCCGTGATCTCTTCCTTATTCTGGGATAAGCCAATGTGAGACACTGCTTTCCTTTGACCATTGCAGTAAAACCTATACGCACCGACGCCTTCGATTCCTCTCCTCCAAATTCAACGTACATGAGATGCTGAATGAAATGGAAGAACTGAAGGAACTGAAGAGCAACCCCCACCGGGATTTCTATAATTGTCGGAAGGTGAGGGAACTCTCCTAGCTAATGCATCCTTGAAGTAGATGGCAGGTGTTCATGATGCCCTGTCAGGTAGAAATGCTGAAGAGCGTATTTCCACTTAGAAGCAAATATGACAGCTTAACAGGAGGGAGAGCAGAACAAGAATAAAGGATAGGAATGGAAACTAGACTAGAGCACCTCTATAAAGAAGGAAAAGAGAATCTATGAAGCTTGATGGAACCTCATGAAAGCTGCAGGCCTTTTAGAGGCATCATCCATAGGGACATTTTGTTCAGGCTGCACAGTGGGTGTGGCTGGGATGCCTCTTGGACTCCTGATTTGAGCCTAACATGTAAGCCAGCCTTCTTCTTGCATGAACTAGATATGCTAGACTATAATTCCCACAAGCCCAACTAGGGTATGCAATAACATTATTATTTTAAAGTTGTCCACAAGAACCACATTATTATATACCTGCCTAAATACAGTATTTATTGGAGATGATTGTACACTCATCAAACACGTTCAATTCTCTTCTTTCTCTAGGACTTTACATGATTTTTATTTTTTCAAGAAATAAAACTTATGTAGCAGCCTTAAACTAATGCGAGTCAGACTGCTAGCTCATCCAGTTGGTCTGTCTTTTCCAATTAATATCAGCTCCGCAAGATCTCCTTCACCACCACAGATCTCTCACCCTAACTGCCTAATTCCCTCAAAGCCTGCACCCTTCTTTTCCATCAGTTCCAATATTCCCAGTTCATCTGATCTTTCAAAACGAACAGCAAACCAGACTGTATTGTGCTATATATCCCAGTATCATAGTTCCTGAGATAGAATCATCGTGCTTTTTCGCACAGCATTCTATGCCTTCCTCGCCTGTGTCTTCACCAGTACAATTGCAGTGGTAAGTCTCTGCACCTCGGTTGACTGTTGTCTTCTCCCACAGGTGGACACACACATCCATGCGGCAGCTTGCATGAACCAGAAGCACCTGCTGCGATTCATTAAGAAGTCATACCGTGTTGATGCTGACCGGGTGGTGCACAAATCCAAGGACAAGATGTTGACGCTCAAGCAGCTCTTCGAGCAACTCAGCCTTCACCCCTACGACCTGACTGTGGACTCTCTTGACGTGCATGCAGTGAGTCCTCAGGCCTCTCTTCCCTCCCAGGGTGTTCTGCTCTCGGTCGCAAGAGGCACACAGTTGGCTGTGGCTAATCTCTCCCCCCACCTTTGTGACTGAGAAATGCATTTTGCTGGGCGCACTGGCTGACTACTTCTTTATGCCACAGGGCCGCCAGACCTTCCAGCGCTTCGACACCTTCAATGCCAAATATAACCCAGTGGGCGCTAGTGAGCTGCGTGATCTCTACCTCAAGACTGAAAATGCCATCGATGGTGACTACTTTGCCACCATCATCAAGGTTAGGCAGTATGGTATGCGAGTGTCTGGGCAGCTGCTAATCTGAGGATGAGGCCAGGTCATTGGAGCAGAACAGGCACAAGTTATTTTTTCTCCTTCTGATTTCCCAGGAGGTTGGCTCTGACCTGGAAGAGGCCAAGTACCAGTATGCAGAGCCACGACTCTCCATCTATGGCCGTTCGCCCGACGAGTGGCCCAAATTAGCTAGCTGGTTCAACAAGCATCGTGTTTATTCACCCAATATGAGATGGATGATCCAGGTGCCCAGAATCTAGTAAGTTGAACAGAGCAGGAGGGTGGGGGAAACCTTGTACAAAGAGCACTTTGGACTCTTGCTGGGTTTTAGTAGTTCTTTTGTTTTTGAGAGTTTTGGGCAAGTTCAGACAAAGCAGTCTGAAGCAGTTTGACCAGTCTGAAAGAGCTCAGCAGGAATCAAAAATATTGTACAGTTAGCACATGCAAACAGCATGTGCAGGGGTGGATTCTGTGTGACACAGATGGGGCAGCCTGTTTTGAGCCATTCGCAACAGGAACTTGGGGTGCTTCTGGCTGCAGGACTCTGAGTGCTGACTGCCAGAAGACACGCTGCAGCCACACCTACTCGACTGTCCCTCCCTGTCCTTAACTGATTTCCTATGGTATGGAAGAAGATGGGGTGAAAGTACATGGGAGGATTTATTTATTTATTTTTCGATGTATATCCTGCCTTTTTCCTACGAAGGGCTCAAGGCAGCTTACATCATTCTCCTCCTCCATCTTATCCCCACAACAACAACCCTGTGAGGTAGGTTGGGCTGAGAGTCTGTGAGTGGCCCAAAGTCACCCAGTTGGCTCCATGGCTGAGCGGGGACTAGAACCCAGATTGTCTGAGTCCCAGTCCCAGGCTCTTAGCCACTACGCCACACTGGCTCTCTGAGGATTTCACTCAGTAGGTGAAAATTGAGTCTAGGCTCCTTGTAAAGTACCATGACTGAGGTGGGGTGATTGCACATTCAAAGCCTCATCTAACGTTTCTAAAAAGCTCATAATGCATGACTGCAAGGAAGGCTGGTTGTTGGAGAACTGCAGAAAGTTCCAAGTGAGCAGTTTGCTCCAGCGAAGGCTGGAGTTAGTCTGTCCATCCTGTCACCTCTCCTAACCTGCATCCCCTTGTCCGAGAAGCCTTCAAGGGCCAAATCTGAAATCACGTGCTCCTTGTGTCATTGGGTAGGAGCAGGAGACATTTGTCTTCTCGGGTCAGTCAGTCCCAAGAGCCCAGTTCAGTTCTTCAGTTGGTGATACAGCACTGCTGGATGCAGCCAGCTCAGTCTTGGCTTTCCGTGAGCTCAAGGTCACGGCTATGATATTGCCTTGATTCTCAGTGGTAACCTTTGCATTCTACAGGGCAAAGTATGTAAGTGGGTCAGTTAGGTGGCCCCTTCCCTTACCTTGAATCTTCCACTGCATGGGGAAAGGAAACAATTTGGCTTCCTTTTAACTGTGTTCCCAGCAGCAGCTCACTTTAGTTTTCTTTTCTCCAAAACATTCTGGGCTTCGTTACATAAGAGATTACTTGTGGACTCATAGACGTTTGCTGGTGCTTTTCAAAATGATGTCATCCTTTAGGGCTTCTCCCATTTTTCCTAAACATTTTTGCAGGCTTTTTAGAGCAAGGAAAGCCAGCTATTAAATTTCAAATGTGGTACAAATTGGAATGAAAGTCTAGTGTGTTGTCAAATTCTGCTATGCTGCAGCTGTTCACAGTGCCACCCTGTGATTATGGAATGCATAGAAAGGCAGAGTAAGACAAAAGTGTATAGTGGGAGAGACATGTAAAGGACACACTCTTCCTTCTTGAAGGAAAATGGAAGCAGTACCAGTAGATTCCTCCTTTAAAGAAGCTTTCTATTGCAGAGCTCAAAGCAAAATTTTATATTCATTTCAAAGCCCTCAATGGCCCAGGCCCAATCTACCTGAAAGAGCACCGTTTCCCATACTTTCCTGCTTGATTGCTAAGATCTTCAAAAGCTGTCGTCTGGGTGCTACCCACAATAGTGTGGTGGGTGGTTGTCATGCAAACAGCCCTCTCTGTCTGTGGAATGCCCTTCCCAGGAAGGTCCACCTGGCATCTTCCCTGTATATATTAAGATCCCAGGTCAAAACTTTATTTATTATTTCAGCAGCTGACTTGAATTCTCTTTCTCCATTGTTTGACATTATTACTGCCACTTTAATATTTAATGTTTTAATATTTATAGTATTGCATTTATTATTTGGGCTATTATTTTATTGTCGTTTGTGGGCAGTGTATCAACCTAGCAAACAAAACAAGTGAAGCAGAAATAGAGTTAATGTGCATCCATTTTTTCCTGCCTCCCTCGCCCAGTGATGTGTTCAGGTCAAGGAACTTTCTGCCACACTTTGGGAAGATGCTGGAGAACATTTTTGTGCCTGTGTTTCAGGCGACAATCAATCCTCAGGACAATAAGGAGCTGAGTGTTTTTCTGCGCCATGTGAGTACTACGGATGTGGAGGCAAAGGAACAGATGGGATGGGCCTACCACTGTGGTCAGAGACAAGCCAAGAGCTGTGGAAATGCGTGGCTCACAGCGTGGCTGGAGAGCCAAAGGGCCTGAAGGTGACTCTGAAGCAGCACCAAAGGCTGAATTCAAGATTTATGAAGAAGCTGTTGCAGCTGCAATTCAGGGTATGCAGGACCCAAAGGCAAAATGGATGGTGCCAAAGTCTGAGCATGTTTTACCTGAAAGCTCTTACTGCCGGTATTTAAGTCTCATTCAAACCATTTTAGAGGCAATGAGGAGCAGCCACAAAAGATGGGAAACTTCAAGGGGATGTGGCCAGCTGCAGAACCCTGAAGGGTTGGATCAATTCCCTGGAGGTCGTTTTTGGCCCATGCTTAACCAAATTGGGCCAGCAAACCTGTCCCCGCAAGTGACATCTGGCTGCTACTAAGCATGCCAGCCCATTTCCAGGGCCTGTAAGGCAGCGCGTTGAACAAAGGTACTCACCCTGCCAGTCCAATTGTGGTGAAGGGTGATATCCCCTGGGTGAGGGGAATAAAAACTTTCTCAGTTTTGCTTATTTACTTGGAGGGGTGGTGACTGGGAAGTAAAGGCTGAGCTTGTTTTTGGAGCCGGCCCTTCCTCAGAGCCAGCTGTATGATTTGCAGATTACTGGTTTTGACAGCGTGGATGATGAGTCCAAGCACAGTGGACACATGTTCTCCAGCAAGAGCCCCAAGCCAGAGGAGTGGAGCCATGAGAAGAATCCATCCTACACCTATTACTTATACTATATGTATGCCAACATCATGGTACTTAATCACCTCCGACGGTAAGTTCCAGCCTGGGCAGCAGGGCGGCTTCTGAGTGGAAAGGCTTCAATGCTCAAATATCCTGTACTAACCTTTGGTGGGAATAGCGCTCCCAGGTTTCCTGGTTCTGGTAAGACCACCCGCTAACCCTAGCAAGAGCATATTGTATTTCAAGAACTTGTTTGCATCAGCCCTTTCCCTTGATTAATTCCAGCTCTAGGAGGCAGCATTCCAGGTTCCACTAGATTTATGGTGTTAGCAGAAGAAACAAATCCCGATAATAAAGTCAGAATGATCGAGATAATTGCTATTAGATATTTGTTTATCTATTTCTTCCACTAGTTTAAGAAATGGATGCTCATACAATATTTCAAAAAGCCCTTTACTTTGGAAAGTTAATACCACAATGACCCTGATGATTGCCTTTGAAAAGTGGGAGTAATTTTGGATGGATCAATTTAGTACAGAGAAGCATTGAGAAGAGAGGATGGATCATCCTTCCTGTGCTTTCTATTTCTCTGATCTAAACTACCCCTCACCCAAATTTCTTTTATCCCAAATGGGGTTTGAAATTTGAGTAAGCCCTCTGAATTTTTAGTTGAGGGGAGAACAGTAGCTGGGAATCATTCTGCAGCTCTTTTCTATCTCTGTGCCTAAATGTCTGTCTTCTCCTGAAATTGTATTTTATTGTCCTCTTCTGAAACTATTTTCTTTCTTTTTTCCCTTTTTAAGTGACTATTGGGGTTTAGTTACTGACACTTTAATGTCATCTTTAGTTGGTCTCTCAATGTGTCATGTTTTTAAATGCAAATTCAGTAGTGATGCCCTAATATTTTTTGTTGCTCTTCTGTCAGCATCCTTTTGAAAAAGAAGGGAAATTGGGACAGACATGGAGTACTTCTAAATGAGGTACTATTCAGCAGTTTTTTTAATCAGGCATTTCTTACCAGGAAAAAGCAGTGAAAAGTCCCTGTTCTTTTGCTAATCCCCTGTGAATATGTTGATGGATCTGAGTGGCTCAGCATTATGTCAGCATTTTGGATCTTCCTTCAAGGAAAGATCCTTCTGGGATATGATGTGGGCCCTGCATAAAGGTCGCTTTGTCACCCTCAGGGAGCGTGGCATGAACACCTTCCTGTTACGTCCTCACTCTGGAGAAGCTGGCGCTATCACCCACCTGCTTGTTGCCTTCATGACTTCAGATAATATTTCCCATGGCCTGAACCTGAAAAAGGTGAGTTGAAGCATGGGAGAGGCACTCTTGTGTGCTTGGAGATGGTGTGTGCCCTTGATATGCTCTTCTGGTTTCTTTTTCCTACTCAAGTTACACAGGACGCCTCATGTGGAGAGGTTCCACAGTCCTGCACCTCACTAGGTCCCTCCCTTGACTCTCAGAATGCTGCCTGTTCAACAGGCCTCACTGCAACCTCCTAAATGATGGCAGGAAACCTTGTGGCCTGGCTGGACTGGATGCCACAGTCTCCATGAGAAGCTGATGGTTCCACAAGGGTTACAAACAGGCTGTCAACTGTGAAAGGGGTGCTGAGCAGTGAGCGATGAATGGTGTGGACAGTGCACCTGAACAAGGTTCCTCCACTACTGTTCAGTATTTCTGGACATCACATTGAACCTGCCATTGCCCTGCCTCACATTACCAGGGGTGGGGGGTCCAGGAAATGTCATATTATATTTTTGTGCTAGCTGTGTTTTCCAGGACTGGCTGTTGTCAAGGTAGGTACCTGCCAAGGACTCACACTCCAGTGGAACCCACCCACCAGAACCTGCTGGAGCTGTTCCTCCTTTCCACCACTGCAACTTGCTAGTTCACCTGTCTATTACTGTGCCCCAGACAATGGTGGCAATGAGGAGGAGGAGGAGCAGTAGAGGTCATTGCTGGCTTGCTCGTTGGCTCTGTGCCTGTCAAGCAAGCAAGGGGCAGCAGTGATGATGGGGAGGAGGAGGGAGAGCAGTGACAGTGGTGGAATATTGGTAGCCTCGCTGAGGGTGTCTGGGCCAAGGGCCCTCAGCATCCTGGCACTTGTGCTGGTGGTTTCCCATCTCACCTTTCCTATTTGTCCTTTTTGTAAACAATCTGCTGAGGAGAACAGTGGAAAGAATTGCTGCAATATGCCTTTTGATTGTTAATGGTAGGAGCCCTTTCTGGAATTAACCTTGGAGAAATGCTGGGAGCACGTTCTGAGAGTATTCTTTGGGAAGAACTGGAGCCCTTCAGCCGTCCATGACCTGACCCAGCCTTGTCGTCCCTCTCTATCTCTCTTTGCAGACGCCTGTGCTACAATATCTCTACTACCTAGCCCAAATCCCCATTGCTATGTCACCGCTCAGCAACAACAGTCTCTTCCTGCAGTATGCCAAGAATCCACTTCTTGATTTCCACCAGAAGGGATTGATGGTGTCATTGTCCACTGATGACCCTATGCAGTTCCACTACACCAAGGTAGGAAACCAGATCCTTTCTTAGAGTAGATGCTTGCTCTGAGAAGTCTGAGGGAAGCTGGCATGAGGGATATTGCAGTTCCTGCCATCCTCTTGGCAGTGCGCTGCATCCTTGTTTTCCTTTTATTGCCCAGGAGCCTCTCATGGAGGAATATGCCATTGCGGCCCAGGTCTTCAAGCTCAGCACCTGCGACATGTGTGAGATCGCACGCAACAGTGTCCTGCAGTGCAGCATGCCTCATGAAGTACGTGGTTGTTCACCTGAGCATCAAAAAGGGTCATAGAGTGTCGTGAGCTAGGTGTCCCCTCTCAAATGAGACAGGCACTTCCGCAATTATTAGAAGAGTCTTTATTCCATACAGAAACAGCATATTCACAAGCCTCAAAACACGCACTCCAGGTAGAAAGTTGACCCTGCATTCTGCCCCTCCCTCACCCAAAGCTTTGCTTCTGAACCCTTCAGGGCTGCTCTCTGGATGGAGGCACGCTATGGAAGCGAGCACATCCACATTCTTCCCATTGAGCCCCTAATTGGTCTAGCTGGTGGGCACGTCAACAGGCCCTTGTGTCCACGTCTCCTGGAGCGTCGAGTTCTCCTCCTGAGAACCGCTCCCGGGCCTGTTCCCTGCTGGCTTCTTTCCCACAGTCAGGAGGGGGCAGCTCTGTGGTTACCCTTGAAGTGCTTTGATCCACAGCTGGCTCAGGCTGGCTCAGCAGGAGAGTTTGGGCCACTGGAGCCTCACTAGTCTCAACAACTCCAATATCAGAGTGAGAACTCTGAGCCACAGGTGGTTCAGCTCTCCACTCCCCCTTCTCCAATTCTGAGCCGCCATTCCCACCAAAGCCCTTCATCTCCTGTGTGCCTGGGAATCTCATCCGAGCTCACAGCCCTGGGGCTTAGTGGCTATGCATAAGAGGGTGGGTATAAAGCAGGAAGGGAAGCAATCAGATGCATTTTCTATTAACTTGGGGAGCTTCTCTGTCACTGCTCCTAGACTTTGAAACTCCCTGCTGAGGGACAATGGGTTCGCTCCCTCTCTGCTGTCCTTTATTCTGCAGGTAAAGACATGTTTATTCAAGTAGGTTTTATTCACGTAAGCTGTTGGTGAATGGGGTTCTGTTGGGTTGGGAAAGGTTTTCTTTCCTCCATTCTTGTGTTTTTAATGGAGTTAAATTTTAATCTTGGTGTTCATTCCGGTCAGTCCTCTTGAGCTCCATTTTGCTCGGTGGGGAGGCAGGATACAGATCAAAGAGACACATTAGGGAAGAGATGACTGGCATGGCAGTGTGAAGACTGGCCCTCAATCTGTGCATTGATTCCACAGGAAAAGCTCCGTATCTTGGGGGAGCATTACCGCGAGGAGGGCCCACAGGGCAACGACATTCGCAAGACCAACGTGGCTCAGATCCGCATGGCCTACCGCTATGAGACGTGGTGCTATGAGCTCAACCTTATAGCTGAGGGACTGAAAACCCCCGAATAGGATGCTCTTGGTGCTGCGTCTTCACACACCAGATCCCTGCTGGAACTGTAGAGCAGGACTGAGGAAGTGAAGCAGCTGGTTCATTCAGCACCAGGCAATTAGAGGTGTGAGATTATAGCCCCATTGCTATTATCTCAGATTACATGTTCTTAAAAAAAAATGCAGTGTGTTTGTTTACTAAACTCCTCGTGCTTCTCCATTTTGCAAGCACCAGTTTACACAACATCTGCATATATATCTTTCTATGAATCCAGTGAAGAGGTCTATCCAAAGAGGAACCCAAGGACCTTGCTCCCATTTCACTGCCCTGATATGAATGGGGCCATTTGCTTTGGTGTTTTTATAAAAATAGAGACAACTCAGGATTCCAGGGCCTAGTAGAGGTATCAGGGTGTCTGAGCCTGTCCCAGCTACTGCAGACCACTCCATAGTGTGAAGTTGAGCTTAACTTCTAGCCTTACTATTGTCTCTCCTTCTGAATGACCAGAGGTGGCATGGATCTCACTGACACAAGCTCAAGTCAGTTTTTACTGGTGAGGTTAAAGCACTTTTGTTACACATTTTTAAACAAGGATACATGCTGCTTGTCTCCTGGAAATGTGTGATAGGAAGTGCATTCACTGATAAGAATAGCATACTCCTGTGACTGAGTGCCAATAGGACGGAGAACCAATGGTTCACTGAGAAATCTCCATGCTCCCTGTGTAGCCTCACTCCTGAACTGTTCCGGGTGCCTGACAACCAGCCAGGCCTTCCTCCAGGGTACTTTCACTCAAGGAAGACAACCAGCCCTCCACCCATTGCTCTTTTCTAACCAACACTCATCCTTCTGCCACTCCAGGAGGCCACTGAATGTGGCAGTTTGTACTGGGATTGTTTTTGGTCCCCTTTGGGTTTTTAAAAACTGTTTTATAGCTATAAATATCTGAGGATACACTTGAGCATGAGATTTCTCAGTGTACATGAGTAAGCGCATGAGAACAGCCAGAAGGCTGTCACTTCAGTATTTGCCACTTGAAATGGTCACTTCACTCTGCCCGGTTGGGGAGTCAGCACTGTAACTGTGGATACAGAAGTAAAACTTGAATCCAGACTTTCAAGAATAGTCCTTCCTAACCAGGAGCCCTCAAAATTGTTAGATTGCAACTCAAAATGGTTGGATTGCAACTCCCATTAGCCCTGGGTTCAAACTCTAGCTAGTCAGGGAAGAGATGAGTCACAGTTCTGGGTTTGGAGGGAGCATTCCTGGGTATTTTAGCTGCTCCTGCTGGCAGAAGAAGCCAAGGGGCAGTTATCAAAACAGTGTGAAGTAGCACAGTGACTCCTTTGCAACAACCCTGGGGTTTAAGCATTAGATCTGAGTTGTGATTATTTTCTTGCATTTCATGGCTATTTTGCCTCGTTATCTTCTCTACAAGCATTTCCTAACTGAGGGCGATGCTTCTTTCTCTGATGAAGTGTGACTGTTGCTTATTTACAATAAATGTGTTGCTTCCAGATTAGGTTTCTAGCCTGTGTTTGCTCTTCCTCATTCATGGAATACTGTGGGTAGGTATACATTTTTCCTGCCTCTGCCTCCCTCGCCCAGTGATGTGTTCAGGTCAAGGAACTTTCTGCCACACTTTGGGAAGATGCTGGAGAACATTTTTGTGCCTGTGTTTCAGGCGACAATCAATCCTCAGGACAATAAGGAGCTGAGTGTTTTTCTGCGCCATGTGAGTACTACGGATGTAGAGGCAAAGGAACAGATGGGATGGGCCTACCACTGTGGTCAGAGACAAGCCAAGAGCTGTGGAAATGCGTGGCTCACAGCGTGGCTGGAGAGCCAAAGGGCCTGAAGGTGACTCTGAAGCAGCACCAAAGGCTGAATTCAAGATTTATGAAGAAGCTGTTGCAGCTGCAATTCAGGGTATGCAGGACCCAAAGGCAAAATGGACGGTGCCAAAGTCTGAGCATGTTTTACCTGAAAGCTCTTACTGCCGGTATTTAAGTCTTGGGAGAGGCATTCAAACCATTTTAGAATGGAGATGGGAAGAAGCCACAAAAAGATGGGAAGTACGTAGGTGTATGTCCAGACATCCTTTTCTGCTTTGCCTCTTCTTTTTTTCTTTCCCCTTTTTTGGCTAATGAAGAGGAATGGAATAGATGCAAGCTTTTCCTTGTTAATGCAGAGCCTCCAGCTTGAAGTGTCCTTACACTTTAAGCTGGTGCAGGACTGTTTTTGCTGCACCAGCTACTTAGTATAGGAGAAGAAGTGATGTTCAGCTTGTTGTTCTTCTCACCACAAAATTGACAAATTGCAGAAATGGAATACAACTGAACAGAAAAATGTGTAAGATGAGCATATTTCCCAAGGTTACACAACTTCCTTCACAGACGAAACTGTGATATTATGCAATTTTGTGCAAGAGGGTTGTTGCATATAGGAGCTGTTTTGTATAAAGGAATTTTGCTACATCCTTACAGCCACCTCCCTAGCTCATATTTCATAGTTGCACATTGCCACCTACTGACTGTTGCTCACATAAAAGACTGAATTCACTCGCATGCTAAAAATAACATCGGGACCGCAAAATGACTTCAGAATCCAAGAATACTGGCAGATAGTTTTAAAAATTCCTGATAGTTATGAGATTAAGGACTACAGATAACAAAACAAAGACTTCAAGAACAGGGACCTTTTTGAGCTTTGACGCCTGAAAAGTGATCTACCTTTGGTCCAACAGTATTTTGTTTTGTTTTTGAAGCTTGTCCATGATGGGCTTCCCTAATAAAACAAATACCTGCTTGGGTCTCTGATATGTAAGAAGAGAAAACAAGTCTCACTGTAGCAAGGAGATAAAAGAGAAAGGGTTCAAAATAGAGTCCTGTGAGCCGGCACTGTGTTTGAAAACAGCACAGGAAACGCCCAGGTTCCGGCTTGATCTCCTTTATGCTGAAGCCAGACATATACTGAAAAGCACTTCAAACAGAAGGTACCTTTTAACCGAGTCCTGTCCTCTGTAAAATAGGGCATAGGGGTTAGGGTTAGGGTATTCTGAAAGGCAGTACCATACAATGGTGAAACTAGGCTGGATTTTGGGACCCCCAAAGGACCTCCAAGAGAGTGGCAGATGATGAAGGCAGCAGCAAGCAGGGAAGCACCTGGACAGATGCAGGCACACAAGGATCCATGGGTGCTGATGCAGGATACTGTAGCTTCCCCTCTCCACCACCCCACCCCCATATATTGCAGCCAGCAGGTAGCTAGCTGGGAACATGTATGGTTACAGATTATCATTTTTTAAAATTATACTATCCTTTTCAATAACGATATGGTATTTATTCCCACTCAAATGTGCTTTACATCAAAGCAGCAAAAGCAAACCCATGCTGCCATGTTGTGAGTTTAAAACACAAATGTGTACATGTGCAGTTTTTTTTCTTTTAGCTTGGAGAACTATCTTTTGTTTGCTCTAATTTATTGTGTGTATAGGAGCGATTATACAACACAGAATGGAAGTGCAGGAGCTGGGAGGTGAAATGCCATGTGCCTCAATGGTGGAGCAATGCACATAGCAGCCTGGAGGGAGTAGAGTTAGCAGGATGCATCACTGGACCAGCCACACTAAAGACAGCTCCCAGCAATGTGTTTGGATTGACAGCCCCTTCTCTCCTATCCCCCATCTCAGTTTTTAAATGGGTTTTGTAGGCCTGTTTTAAGGTCTATGAGAAATGTAATTTAGGAAAACAGTTGGCAGGAAAAAAAGGAGGCTGGTCTGTTGATATTACCCCACTGTATAGTTAGCATGCCATTTCCCACTCAGAAGATGTCAAAGTGGCTTACAAAGGGCAAAACTGTCAAAGCAGGTATGTTGTGACTGCAAAACCAAGAATAAAAGTCCTGGAATATCTTAGGAATTAACTCCTGTACAGTGCAATCCCATGCATGTTCAGCTGGGGAAAAGTCCAGCTTTCAGCATTCTGCAGCCAGCAGATGCCTGGAAGTTGTAGGACCTTTTGCTATCTAAACATTAAGATAGCTGCATCCTTATGCAGCTTTTCAGTAGGTACAACTCATTTCTTCTGATACTGAAGAATCTGATGACTTAGGCTGTTGCTTAGGAAAAATCATGCCACAATAAACCAGGTCTTTTCCAACCAGCCACTTTTCTTCTTCAAAATAGTCTAAACTGGGAAGGACTGGGGCTGGAGTGGTCTGCACCTTTGTAGGTAGACAAAGGTGGCTCAAAACTTTAAGACTTAGAATTTCCCAAAAAAGAGTACCCTGACACAGCTGGCCAAGTGTTTTGCATCCTACTGTGACATTTCACACCTTGGTTCTAAGCAGCATCCTCCTGCCACAATATCCATGTGTTAATAGTAACTTGCAGCCATTTGTCTCTAATTGGCTTGTCCGTTTGCTGAGTTGAACAATGGGTGAAATGACACTGAGTGCTCCCTCTTTGGAGCAACCTCCTGTAGCATAAGAAAAGACTTGATAAGAAGTGTTCCCTATCTCTCCTCACTGTTGAGAATAAATGTGAGAATGTATGAAAGGGCTTTTGCCAGTCACAATGGAGCCCACCTCTCTCATAGCTAAACATGAACAGGTGAAGCAGGTCTTCCCACAAGCTGGTGTTGAGTGTGGGGAGCAAGACTCCAACATGTGTCTGCCTAGCCACAGAAATGTTCTATAGACAATTCCAGCTTTGGCAACAAATACAAAAATAGTGCCTTGTCTTTTGTCTCCATGTGCTGATGTGTAGCCTGTATGAAGAATATAATCAAAGGAGTTATGCCAAGTATCTCTAGGATGTGTATGTACCTTTTCTGAGATGTCAGAATGCTGGATGAAAACCTGAGTTTGGTTTTGTTTTTAGAAAAGCAGGGGCAGTAATATTCTGACCCCCTACCCCATGTTTACCACTGCACAGAGTTTGTAAAATGTCAGTCATGATCTTGTTTAATTAATTAATTAATTAATTAAAACATTTCTATGCCACCCCTTGCCAGAGCCTCGGGGCGGCTTACAACATCAAATAAAATACACAATAAATTAAAACAATAACAATTAAAATATATACAGTAGAATAAAATAAGCCGCCCTGGCCAAATAAAATTCAATAATATTAACATTTAAAATGCTGCTTAAATAAAAAGGTCTTCGCCTGGCGCCTGGCGCCTGGCGCTGTTGCAATAAAAAGGTGAGATGTGTTGGGAAATAATTGCAAACTGTACTGAAATGAGCTCCTGGAAGTGTTTGATTTCTGCTATATACCATACTTGCTATATAACTGAAAATACTCTTATGTTGTGTGAATGGTTTGTTATCATCACACCATTGTACCTGAGAACTTGTACGTGACAACAGGGCTTTGAAAGTTATAATGCTACAGAAAAGGTTCTGTTGCCTTCTATCTCGAATACAAGGTCTCAATGGCGTCAGTGCACGCATTCACACACATCGTGAGCGAACCAGTTTAAAGGAGGCACTCCACGGTGCTCGAACTATTACCGGGAGAGGGAAGTAGGAATGCCTTCATGCAAGGTTTTCGTCCTGACCCTTTCCCATTTTGCCAAATCATAGCCCTCAGTAGCCTTCGAAAAGAGATGGGGGTGGGGTCATAAAAGGTAACGGGACCAAGTCTCTCTCCCACCCCGGCAATCCAAACGTTGTTGCGTGCTACAAACGGCCAGATATGACTATGTTTTAAAAAACGGCTTTGCCTACGTATGCCTACGGAGCCTAGCTCCGTTTGAATCAAGGGACTCCTCGACAGAAACTCTCCAGCACGGAACTGGATCGCGGAGATCGTCCCTACAAACGGAGAGGCCCACGGCCCGAGAACGAGCTGGACTGGGCCAGAGTTAAAGAGCTTTCTTCTTGGCGGTGGGTGTCGCGCCAGGATCCCCGTCGCAGTGCAGCAAACGGGTCAGAGACAAACAGCAGAAGCCTCCGCCTCGTCGGGGAAGCGCGGCTAGCGGCGCCCACGTGTACCACGGCGGGCAGGGGCGGAGCAAGTGGGCGGAGCGACTACACAGTAGGCGTAGAGTGACGGAGGCGCTAGCCAATCGGCCTTGCCCGAATGTGTCAACCCGGGAGAGCGGGCTTGGTCTGTACTTGCAAAGTTGCGAGAGAGCCGCAGAAGGAGCCAGCGGGGGAATTGGGTGGGAGCGCTGCCGCCGCCATGGAAGCCGGTGAGTGGGGCTCGCGGGGCGGCTGCGCCTCGGCCGATGGCGTTTGCCTGCTTCGGGGCGTCTTCTTGCTTCTGGCAGGGCAGGCTGGCGGGCGCGTTCGACGCCTCTTGGGACAGGGTGACGCCGCGCTCGTTCCTGGGACGCTCGGCCCGGAGCAGATACGCCCCTCGAGCGGACCGGGGAGGGATGGTGGCTCCCGGTCCTCTTCCCGGTCCTCCCTGCGGAGGAGAAACGACAGGCTTCGGGACGGGACACCGGCAGGCTTTGCTTCTTTGGCGTAGCTTCAACTGAACGGGCTTTGTACCCGAAAACTCTCTTGAATGCTGAAGACATGAAGTAATACTGACGGTTGCTTTAGCATGTTCAGAGTGCATACATCCTTCGGCTTCTGCGAAGTCGGAGAGAGTGACTTTTGGGCTGGTAAACATGGCCACGAAAGAGGTTGGGGTCTGCTTGACAGGCAGTCACTTCACCTCCTAGACAAATTCCTAACTTCGAAAGCTAGTTTGGCGCCTGTTTGTTGCTTGTGAATAATGTGCGCGGTGGGGTTGTACTTGGTTGGTGTGTGTCACATAATAAAGCTGCTATTCCTGATGCTTTGCAAATGAAGTGATTTGCTGCTAGAAGATGTGCTGAGGGCCGCTCATTTAAATGTCTTTCAAAGGTGATTTTTGGACAGGTTCATGGAATATAAAGGCTATCCAAGGCTACAAGTTGTGATGGTTTTATTCTACCCTGAGGATCAGAGGTATCAGGCCTCTGAGTACCAGATCCTGGGAACTAGAGAAATTGTTCTGTACAGTTGAGGCCTGTTGCTTCTCCTGTTTGCGGGTCTCCTATAGCTATCTGGTTGGTTGCTATTTATTTACTACATTTCTATACTGCCCATAGCTGAAGTTCTCTGGGTGCTTTACAAAAAGGTCTGATCCAGCAAATGGCTTCCTAGAGTAATAGTTATGATGCTCGTGTAAGCATTACTGCTTTAGGAATCCAGATCTGGTGTTTCATTTGAAAACACTGGTGTATGAGCGACTGTTCCTAATAATTAGAGCTAGTTTGAGGGGTTGTAATTCCACTTGTGCCATTGTTAAGTCCTGCACTTCATGCACATCTGCCAGGAGACCAGGCCGGTCCCGCACTGATTTGCTGCTCCAAAAGGGAAAGTTTTGAAGTTTCCTCCTCTGTGCTGGGATGTGTGTGACTGGATTTAGAATATATGATCATTCATACTCAAGGGTTTAGTGGTTAGTGTGGGTTGCTGTTGATAAGTGGGTTGTCATGTTGCCTGAACTCAACTCTGCTGAAAATCTGTGGTGAACAACCCGTAGTTCATAACTTCATAGTTTTCTTCATAGGGTGTTCATGGTTAACAAACCATGGCTTGCTAGTACTACTGGGTTCCAACAACACAATAATTCAGGGACTGAGTTTGAATTGAGTGTTGGTTGTCATTGAACTGTGGTTTACTGTTGAAACTCAGATTATCATGTTGTCTGAAAACTTTGATTATTCTGTATGTTCTTGAATGGAAGAATGACCTGATTTTTCCAGGAATCCTTTTTGTATTTCTGATATCACCCAAAGAAGGCATTTGTAGTTGCTTGTGCATGTAGCCTCAAATTGATAGGGACTTGCTCATCACCTCTTGCTTTTATCTGTTTTAGAGGTTGCCCAAAAGGCCTAAAATCTGCCCCAAGTCTGTTAAGACACAATCCTGAGCACATTTAGTGCGGCTGGGCTGGGGAATGCTGGGACTTGTAAGACTTTTTCTGCCTGAACATGCATTAGATTGTGCCACTAATCTATAACTAGACACACTTGCTGACTAGGATTGTCGTGGTGTTTGAGTTCCAGTGTGCAAAAGCTGAAGTTGGGAATGTGGATGCTTAGATTCTCCAAAATGTTCTCTTAAATTAAATTAAATTTAAATTAAATGCTTAAATGAGGTGTATTTTCCTCAAGTGAATATTTATCACTTTGGGTTAAGGGGAGATGGTGGCCAGCTTTCTAAGTGAAGGTGAGGGCAACATCCTCTGCTCTAACATTTGTGCTGTAAACTCAAAAGGTTTGAGTTGGAGAAGAGTCAAAAAAGGTCTCAACAGTTGGTTTCTCCCCCTCCCCCTTCTATGTTTTGAAGCTGTTTCACAGCAAAACCAGGAAATGGAGTAATGGTTTTCTGTGACCTTTTATTATATTTAGGAATGACAATGGTGCTTTTCCTAATAGAGAAACAAAGGGAAAATGTTGGATAAGGAGTTTTGAATAATGTTGCAATAGATTGGTCAGCGGGGAGGTCAGAAAGACTGGACTTCTATTGAGTTGCCAGATTCAGATACTCTCTAGGGCCATAGGATTGCTTTCTTAATTCTTAATATCCATTTATAAATAGCTTTCTAGGTCCCAATTTTCCATTTCTTGTTCAGTGGCCCAGGACACATTGGTTTGTCTGAATTTGGACATCACAATTAGCCATGGTTTATCATGGTGAAAATGAGTCTAAATCCATTCCAGGTTTGCATGTTGTCCTTTTCTCCTTGTGTGCAGCTACAAGGAGAAGTTTGGAAGCTTTCAGGTCTGTCTTTGATTGTGCCATCCAACTGTGACAACTGACTTCTGGTTTTATTTTTTTATGAAATATATATACTTTCATGAGAAATTTCAAGTGATTTACAAATAATAATACAATACTAATATTAATACTAATAAAAATACTGCTACATTCTAAAACTTCATCATCTCAACAAGCAGCAAGGTAAAAACCTCCTGAGACTGTTCATTCAACTGTCTTGCACAGAGAATCCTAAAACCTGAGTGAGGAAGTGTGTTGTAAATGGAATGTGAAACTAAAGACACATGGCATTTCATCGTAAGTGTGTTATACATAAGTGTGAAGGCCCGCTACCTGGCCATGGCTCCCTCTGGTTGAGTTGGTTCCCTTCTGGGGATCTCAAAGGGTCCCTTCAGAGACCTTAAATAAGCCAGATTCAAGTCATGGGTTACAAAACAGGCTTGTTTCCACAAACGAGTAAAGCTTAACCAGGGGTTGGAATTTGGGTAAATGCAAGTAATGTAAAATGGAAGCATGTAATTGTGCCTTACATCTCTGCTGTAGAAGGAGAGGAGTAGCAGGTGAACCTGTGGGGAGACTAGACTCTTTTCTATCATATCAAGATAAACCATGATTTATTGTAATATCTGACTGCAGCCTCTGGCTACTTTTGGATGATGAAGATCTCAGGTTAAGAAGCCAAGACTTGTACAAGCTTGAGGTACCACATGCAGCTGTTTTGCTTGTCCCTTCACATAAGTTGTAATACAGCAGTTCACCATGGCTTCTTGTTGTGCCTGAACCAATGGTTAATGGCTTCCAAGCTAGAATATGGTTTAAAGTTGGCTTCTGTATCCTTGCATATTTGAAAGTTATTAGTTAGTTTATCCCAACTTTAGTTAGTTATATCCCACCTTTTTTCTGTTCAAGGGAAGAGTGGAGCACTTCTGTACTGAGGCCTGGAGCTCAGACCTATTTTGGCACATTAAATGGAGAACCTGACAATCTGAAAGTGCCCAGTGGCTGCATTTAGGACATTATGATAATGCTGAGATCTTGATTGTCTGAGCTGTACTCCTCTGTCTATGTACATTTTTGAAATATCCTTCATAATTGTCATTTGATTATAGCTTTAGCAAGATTTTATTTTTTTGAGGGTGATGCTTGTATAGCAGTTTTCTCTCTCTGATCAGAGTTGATTCCCATCTTCTGGAGAAAACAGAATAGTGAGGCTGTTTGTTCTCTCAAATGTGTTTGAAATGACATGGATTTTACCTTGCATTTCCTGTTGAATGGGCACAGTTTCTCCTTATTAAGCCCTTCAAAAACAGAGGAAGCAAAAGTTTGCAGCATTTGGGCTGGAGACATTTCAAAACTGATTATGAGCCAAAATGACCTTTCTAAGGATCCTGTTACTGGTTCAAGGTGTGAACCCCACTAAACAAACTCTGCTGAATTCTCAATATTCTCAGGATTTGTCAGTCCAAGGACAGGCTGCTTTGATTAATGTATTTTAGAATAGTAGGGTGAACCCCTAGTATGCTAGTTATAAAGATGGTACTAGGTTTTGGGGGGGGGCATTTTCTATGATGACACTGTTTTTAAATTGACAGAATATAAAAATTGTGGGTGGCCAGAGTTGAGTTGGTGTGTTCCTCCAGGGCTTATTTCAGTGGAGAAAAAGATAGCGAAAAAGAGTGAAAAGGGTGTGCTGCAAGTAGTGATTCTCTTCCTTAACTGTGTTTACACAGTGTTGAATGTTAGGATTACCTGAAGGTCACTTCAAGTGGGCTTTTGTTCTTTAATACCTGTGGTTACCTGTGGTTTCTCGATAGAAGTTGAAACATTTTTTAAATTGCCAAGTCTTTTTAAGAGATTTGGACTCCTATACCACTTGCCTCATGCCTTTTTCCAGATTAAACTGAGATGGTTGCTGGGCTTCACCCACTCTGAGGCAGGTGAATATCACTTTTGGCATGTTCTTCCCTTTGTCACCTCTGCCTCTTAGCAGCATCTGTCTTCTGGTTTGGACTACGGGAGGGTGGGTGGTTCCACAAGGAGTTTGGTATTTACTTCTTGCCTTCTGGGGAGATTGATGAGTAAAGCCCAACAAGATCTCTTTCTCTCTCCCCCTCCTCTCCCTTTCCCTCCTCCCTGCTGTTTGGCTGTGCTCTTTGGCCTGCTTGAAACTGTGGAGTAGGCCACTGCTGTGATAGTGTATTGACCGTCTCTCAACAGTGGCTCCATGGTTACCTGTGATGCACATGACATTTCAACAAAGTGCAAAGCTTTGTCCTAGGGCAAAGGAAATGTTTGTATTTTGTGCATGAGCCAGTGCTGAGGATGCACTGGTTTCTTTTCCTCTCACTGTGGTAGCTGCAGGCAGGTGTCCCTCTAGCTCCAGGCTTAGGCACGCAAAGGTCAGGCCTGCCATTCCTGCCTCTGAGCCACT